GGCCACTAAAGGCAGCTCATATTCACTCGGGTTTTACATTCGAGTACAATCATAAAAATCTCCCATGTAACCTGTCTGTTCGCAGGGATTTCATTCCAGAGTTAAACTAGCAGTGTTCAACGGCCTTATCGCTCAGCTGCTGGTAGTTTATCGACATTTAGAATAATAAGAAAGAAGTATTCATTTAAAAGAACTACGTGTGCATTTTGAAAATATTTTCATCATTGCAAGTTTTTGTTTACCTCATTTCTGTTGGTACTTTATCGTGCAGCACTTCTTAATTTTGGAAGTTTCACTATCCATATAAACTTGTGCCTCTGTATCTACTGATTCAGTATCTACGGTTTGAGTTGGGGGCCACTGACAGCGCCTACATCCGGAATATTTAAATAAGTATGCAGTTTATAAGTTACTAACTGCGCACTAAACAAAAAATGGGCTGTAGTGATAAAAATAGGCCAAAAGCGACCTACTTTCTCTGTATGACAACATGAGCACAAATAGACATACGCGATTTATGCCCGTGGTTTAATTCTTTCTGAAGTCCTAGACAATTTTTGTTTAATTATTATTCTTGAAACTAGCAGTAAATGTTACAGATACAGTATTTCTTATCTAACGGAAATTAAGTTTAAATATAATAATTATTTTCGTATGTATGAGAAAACGAAAGCGTGCATTGTCAGCATACAGTGTAATACACAGTACAGTTTATTATTGCTTTATTTTATGTTAGTAACGATTTATTGCACCCATTTTATCTACAAAATTTTATTATAGCCATATGCGTTACATTAATATCACGCTATATGAACTGTGAGCTAGTGTTCACGGCTTTACGTAACAGTATCACCTGCGAATACGGGGAAGGGCAACTGCTCTCCAAAAGTTTTATTTCTCCCTGTAATAGCATAATTATGTCTGCATGTTCTGTGCGAAGTTTTACGAAGCACACGTTTTGTGGTTCTAGCATTTCACAAGATGAGAGAGATCAGGGTCTTGGAAAACTGAAGGAAGGAACATATCCGTGTCACAAACTTTGCAATCGACAACTTAATGGAAGGAACCTTTTAGTTTTTCAGAAAATTCGGTTCTTGGCATTCGACCATACAAAATGGTTGGTTGCTGACTGTCAAAATATAGGGATCATTCAAGCACATTGTGGAGTCGTTAGGATTTTTTTATCCTGGAGAACTGAAAAATGAGCAATGCCCTCGCCTGGACTCGAACCTGGACGTCTCGAATACGCATAGAGTGCTGCAGCTACACCACGAAGACATGCAGAAAAGGAGGGAGAAAAATCCTCCTTTTGAAGGACCACTGGAGATTAGGGCACCCAGTCTCCAAATCCTGGCGGTGAATATTTTAACTCATATCAGCTAGTTTATCATTTGAAGAGAAATATACGCAAAGAATATACATCTATTGGAAGAACGGAGTAACAAAACTTCCGAATATCTCTATACATTTTGTTAGGAAAGTGGACGCCAAGTCTTTGAAGTCGGCGAATCATGAAACGGAATCTGAATATTAAAAACAAAATACATTCCACATTCGGTGATTGATATCCTTTCCCAAGGTACATGAAAAGATAAGACAATGCAACAGCCACGAACGTGACGTAATAATGAGCAAGTTTGTTATTAGCTGGGGCGAAAGAGTTCCTGTTTGGGTTTATCTGAGTGCTCCTTCCGTTTACAAGAAAAACGCACCAAGAAGACAGTACGATCTTCCCTAACGAAAACTAGAGACCTATGCAAAACTATTTAAATATTTTCGCATTTAAATAACGACAAAATTCGTCATTTTAACGATTCAGATTTAAACTATAAGTTGCCGATGATTACCTTTCAAATTAGACGTTAATTACCGATCACAATAAAGGTATTTTAAATTTGATGAATCTTTAAACGCATCTACTTCAGTTTGAACTAAATATAAGCACGACACTGGCAGCTCTAAAATTCTTTTGACCCTGTAGGCGGCATTTGTTTAATTATTGTATTGTCAGAAATTTCCATTCGTTAGAATGAAATCTTAATCAATGAAGAAGATAAGAAAGCAAAATATTTTAAACAGCGAGATAACACGTATGTTCAAAGTGACAACAAACATTATGGTCAAATAAAAAACGGCCAAGATTTTCAGAGGGTTGATCATTTACATTTTAAGTACGCTTAGTACGTAAGTAGTTTACTTCATTTTGAGTAAGTTTAGTGCTAAAGTAATTTAGCAGCTTAGATTGTCTTTCTCCGTAATTTTAAAACAGAAAATTAATTTTCAAATGAATTTTCTTTAATATAAAATATGCTGTACAATAGTTCGAAATGTTTACAGCTGGAAATATTGAGTTAGGGAAACACTGATGGCTAAAGTTCATTGGCTTAAGGGGATAAAAGGTACACGTAAATGCGTTGTGATTAGCAAAGTAACTGAAATTTTAACAATTCATTCACGACGAATAAAAAATTAAATGAATTTAGGAATTCCTTAATTGTAACAAAACACACTAGAATTACCAATGCGAAAGAACGTGAAGGAGTTCCTCAGAAGTATTTGCATGAGACTTTCGCAACCAGCCTGCTCGGCCGCCGAGAACAGAACTCAAATATTAACCACGGTTTTAACAACTCGGTCGCTTAGTGAAATGTTATTCAGAGCTATTTTTGGCAAGCTTAAATGGTACAATAGTTCATTATCAAGCTAACAAACATAATGCATAACAAATTTTATTAAAAAAATTATTGCTTAATTACTTTCACTGTCATTAACGTTGTACCTTAAAAACATATATACAGTATGTTTCAGTGTACGTGAAAGTGTGTGAGACATACATACTCTCAGAGAGATGAAAGTACACTTTTTGCGCCGTGATCAAGCCGAGTAACCCCTTTCTTTCCTAGGAAACTAGCTCAACAACTTTCGATTGGGACAGAAAGTTGATTCAGCTCACACGAAAAAGACTTTCCCTAGATTATTCCCTATATATAGAGTAATATAAAGCGTCGGTTTAGTAAATGAGTACAGTGCACAGGCGGATAATAGTAACTATGACAACTACATTTAATAACTACAATACCATTTTTACTGTAATAACTTCCTTTTTTAGTTTTTTTAGTCACAGAACAAAAACAACAACAACAACAAAAAAAAAAAAGGCTTTTATAGCATAATATCTCTAAACTGAAATTTAAATTTCCAGTTGAATTGAATTACGTTTTCAAAATTGTATAGAACCTTACGTTTTCAAAATTGTGCGAGTTAAAAACCGGTCTTTTTTAAAAAAAGAAGAAATTTTGCATTTAATGTCGTTTCATTTCCTTCCTTTCACGCTTTCGCCCACCAGCGGCCGAGCGGTAAAATCGCTGAACACTGGTAGTTCGGTCCGAGGTTCGAATCCTGCGAATGGGCTGGTGCATTGGTGTTTTCATGCTTTTCCCCATGTGTAACATGTATACGAGCCAGTTTCCCCTAGAAAGTCCTCCACGAAGGCATCCCTCCCTTTAGGCAGATGGCCCTAGTGTGCTTTGCCGTAGTCTTAATACACCAATACACCTTTCACGCTTTCTACAGGTGCACGTAAATGACATCATAAAATACATTCATCAGTCAGCAGAATGCTTTTGGACAGGTTAACAATTAAAACAATTTTGCCATTGGCTGTAAATGGAAAGGTGAAATACCCCAATGTATCCCTGGGTTATAACTAAATCACCAGTGGCCGAGTAGTTTAAAAATTCGAAATATTGTTAATATTCTCCGAGCGTTCGTCCCCGTGGTTGAAAGGAAAGGATTTATGAGTTTTGCGGTTTTTCTTCCATGCAGTGTAAATGCCGCTCAATTTCTTAAGACGGGGAAAGTTCAAAATCTTGTCTTTGAAGGGTTTGGTTTAATTGATTACGGCAAAGCCTCGAGTGCTATCTGCCTGAGGGGATGGATATCTTCGTGGAGGACTTTCTAAGGATAACTGGCTCGTATACACGTTATACATGGGGAAAACCAGGAAAACATCCATGCAGCCAGCCCGTTCGTGGGATTCGAATCTCGGATCGAACTCCCCAGTATTCAGCGACTTTACCACTCGGCCGCTGCTAGACACTTGTCTTTGAATGAAGTCATGAATAATGAAATGAGCGCCTCAGAAGTTCCTCCTTTAAACATAAAAGTTAATGCTTCAAATATCAGACATATTTAAGATTGACAATTTGTGCAGGCAGATTCTTACGGATATCTTTCTTGGAAAACCTAGCTTGTGTGTACGGTACGCTCTGGATGAAATCCGCGGAAATTCTTTATAATCAATCCTTCTGCAGTTACGCGATCAGTGAATGGTTTGGAGGGCTTTCTAAGCGAAATTGGCTCGCATTTCCATTATGCCATACACACAACCTTATTTTGGGGAGAAGCCAAACCTTTCACCCAAGTTCAAACTACCAGCATTCGGCAATCCTTAACTGCTCGAACCACAGGTGTAGCATCCGCGACTACTTGATGTTAATTGAAATGGACTTTTTAAAGGACCCGTTGTTCGGTTATGTACGCTGGTTATGTTTGCTCCAGTGTGGTATTGAAATATTCATACAACCATATCCTAGCATTTGGATATATTGGTTCCTAGTTATGCTATACTTACTGACCATCAGACTCAATAAAATTACGAACGCGATGCGATTTTTACCCACTCCACCATGTCTTATATACTCGTAAAGCAACATTTTCACAATTTGAAAATCGGATTCTTTCAGTGTGAAGTAGCTCGTATCACAAGTTACAGCCGACGTAAAAAGCTTGAAACCTACCCAACGATGAATTTAAAACTATTTATGAACCTTAAATGTAAAAAAAACTTATCTCGCATTCTCGTATAAAATTTTTTAACATTAATAATGTTTTGCATTACCAACACAATTAGAAATAATCAGTTCAGTCCTATAATTTATTTTTCAGATTTCTTTTAAAGACAGTGTAAAACGTCAGTAAACGTGTATAACAACACTTACCTGAGACTGGACACCATGCTGATGACCATCCGCATAGTGGGGATGCTTCAATAGATTTTGCAAGTTATGAGCACTGGTGCACGACACACGGCGAGAGCACAGCACTCCAAAGAGCACTAAAAGAACTATTTGACACCTCTTACGCATCACTTGAAATAATGTCACATAATCCGCTATGTAATAATGTACCTAAAAAAATTGCAAATAAATGCATGCGTTTTTTATATTTCTACTCGTTCCTTGCATACTGTGTGGAAGGCACTACACAACATAACTTTCACAAACACAATTATTGTTTCGAAACGAGAAAAACTTCAAGTTTGAAAAAAAATCCAAAATATGATTCACAATTTTAAAAACAGAGACAAATTATACTCGTTGATTCCAAAAAGAAATACGCGCTTGTTCATTACTGCGCACGTAAAATATTTATTTCAATAAATTCAATCGATCCAGCCGAGATATTAAAAAAAATTGGTAAACTTTTTTATGAGAATATCGCGCACGTGCAACAACACAGCAGAGAGAAGAAAAACCATCTCGAATTCTGAGGAGAGGGACACATCAGATGTGTAAATACGTATTCGCCAAAACAGGTTTATTTCGCCAATCTTGGCGAGCGCAATTCCATGACTCTTTTTCTTTTTTTTTCTTTTTTTTTTTTTTTTTTTAATGTATACTTTCCAAATGAAGTACACTTTCGCTGACTCCAAAAATGAAGCTTATTTAAAAAAAAAAAATACTGTTGTATAATAATGCCTCAAAGTACAGTGAAATGTCACTAAGACAGGCAGATATGTGTCCATCGGTTTTTATTTTTCTCTGCCCCAGTGGAGTATGTTCAACTGTATAAATATTGACTTTCCATTATTATTTAATACTTACTATTTATGTTCTAAGCAATACTCTATAAATCTATAAATAATCTATAAATCACTCTTAGCAGTCAAATCTACGGGAGGTTGCCTCTGAGAAAAAAGTTACTGAATTCAAATGATTTTATTTTATACTATAGAATAAATAATTATTTTTTGATTGATTGCTGTTAAAAACCCTTAAGCTTACCTTCGAGAAGATTATCTTAATTCCTTAATCCAATATTCGACTATCCTGCTTTTTAGAAAGGCGGACTCAATGGCCGAGTGGCTTTGACTGCTTAACATTGACAGTTCGACTGAGTTCAAATACTAGCGAAAGGGCTGGCTGGCTGTATGATTGATTTAGTATTTTTTCGCGTGGGTAACATAAATACAAATCCGTCCCCCTACGATAGTTCCCCATAAAGGTATCCCTGACCTCAGACAGGTTGGCCTTATTCAACCAAACAAATGCCTTAGGAGAAATGCCGTCGTGAAAGACATTTTAAGGTAATAAGATAGAGTGGGAACAGAAGTATCTCATTATAACTAAAAAAAAATTTTTTTTTTTTTTTTGTTGATAACTGCTTTTACTAGCTTTCACCCTTAGCTTACAAATTATTTTCAAGAAGATAAGTTCATTCAGACTATTTATTTTTAACATATATTCTGACATTAAATGTCCATAAATTATAAAAACATATTTCAGTTTTATGCTCCCCCAACCGTAATAGTGGTTAGCTTCGCTGATTCTCGTAACGAAGGGCCCGGGTTCGAATCCCGCAAAAAGCATCGAAGTTTGTAAGTGTATAGTGTCTGTGCGGCATGGGGACACTCTAAATATGCGTCGAGCCGAAAATCCTCTCAAGCGGTTACTGGTAGGGTAAGAGGGGTGGGAGACCTTTAGACCCATCCCCCCTGGGAACTGTCCATCAAAATTGGGGACGGAACTGAGCAAAGTCGCACTGTTACCTGTAAGGTGATCAAAGCTGTTGTCAACGGCAAGCGTAATCCTTCGCTCCTTCCCACGAGGAATTTCGTGGACTTGGGCTGACTATAGGTCAGACATGTGGGCATCAGTCAGTAACAGCAATTTCAGTTTCACTAAGTTCCTTTTTCAAAAATATTGGTATTTTATTCTTTACCGAATAAAAATAAAATAGTGATTTGTCAGTGGAGAAGAAAAAATTTAAATTAGGGAAAAATATAGTAATATTTTAAAATTGTTTAAATTTTCATTTCAAATACATGAGTTTAAACTGAAGACATTCCTCAACAGAGAAAAGCATTTATTTAAGCTAAGAAGAATTTAAATAATAACCTTTCAGAATCAGGATTCAAGATATGAGGAATTAAAAGTTGATACTGACGGCGATAAAGCCGCCAAATAAGGTACATGTGGAAAAGGCAGTTGCGGTAGACGATTCGACGCCTTGAAACACGTGCCGCGTATGGAGATGTAAACTGGGTTTGATTCAAAAGAATTGGTTGATCTCGTGAAGCAGTTAGTTTATCAGGAAGTTTTTCCGGGGCAAAAACTTGAATTGATCTGTTTTCATGTCTGAGAGAGTATATGTATACAAAGTCGTCATATTTTTCTCGTGAGATATTCTCCTACTTTTATTTTCAAAAACTCAGTCTACATATAAACTCGCTCAGTCTTTAAGAGTCAAGAAAATACTTATGCAAATATTTCAGGGATTAATTAATGCATTCTTATTTTATACCCACAAGAATGCATACTAGCATTCTGTTATATCATAATAAACGAAGAACAATAATTCTTTACTTAAGCAGTAATTCGAATTCGTCTTCTTAGTTATTTAAATCATTCCAGCAACATAAATATCGAAAACTTCTTGCTGTAACGGTAATTTTCTCATTTTATAATCCTCTTGCAGTCTGAGCATTATAAGCTTAAACTTCCGCAATTCTCTGGACCCACCAGCGGTAAGGACGTTGAACACTGATAGTTCGATTCCAGGCAAACGGGTTGGCTGCAAAGATGCTTTCCCATGCATAACGTGGATACCAGCCAGTTTTCCCTAAAAGGTCCTCCACAAAGGCATCCCTTCCTTTATGCCCATGGTGCTTAACCAGGATCAAAATAAACAAATCTGTACTTCTTTGTATATTTCCCTCAGGAAGACCTCCATGAAGGATCTCTCCCTGTTTGCGGGTATGCTTTACCATACTTGATTAAATAATGATCTGGCTTTAGCTAAAGAAACATATTTATAAACGAATGAATAAATCATTAAAAACAGTTCATTTTAAAATTATTTCAAGCTATTGAGCAATAAGATAATTTTAAGTTACAAAATCATACAGTCATGCAACAGCGGAAATTCATATTCTAACTATCTAAGATAGGTCGACCAACGGGCGAGCGGTAAAAGCTGCTGAAAACTAGTAGTTCGGACCATGGTTTGAGTTCCGAAAAACAGGCGTGCTGCGTGGGCGTTTTGGTGGGCTTCCCCATGTGTAACGTGGATACGAGTCAGTCCACCTTAAAAAGACCTCCAGGGAGCATCCCTCTCTATCGTGCAGTGTCTAAGGGCGGAGCACGTAATAAGTTTAAAAAAAAAAAATATCTAAGATGTATTTTCTTTCAAATACCTGATGAAATGACTAATCATACCTATCGACGCAGACAGAACTCGGTGAGAAATGTCTTTCTGCCAACACTAGCTGGAAAGGGATGTTTCTAGCCGAAACTTCAGCAATTTGTTGCGTGTACGTAGACACAATATTTTACGACGCCGAGGAATCGGTTGATTTGCTGTCAACTCTGTCTCGCGTAGATCAACGAATCCTAGCAAGGTTTTGCTTCAGTCAGTACAGTAGATATCTACGAGATCAAATATTTACTGTAATGATTCCCAAACAGTCAGTCGTAACCTGCCAGTGGCTACCTACAGTGGTCAGCGTTGCTGACTGTCGTGCCGAAGGACCCGGAGAAGGCATGGATGTGTGCAAATGCATAATGTCCGTGAGGCATGGGAGCACTCTAAATATGCGGCGAGCGGAAAGTCCTCTTGAGAGGATCGTGGTACAGGAAGAGGGGGTGAGAGACCCTCGGACCCGTCCCTCCCGGGATGCTCTCCATCAAAATTGGGGGCGGAACTGAGCGAAGTCATGCTGTCGCCTGCATGGAGCTCAAAGCGGTTGCCAACGGCAGGCGCAATCTTGCTCTCCTTGCCACGATGAAATTCGGGGGCTTGTTCTGATGCCACTGTTAGACAACTGAGATAAGTCACAGCAGCACACAAGTCACATGTATTCTCTGTAATTATGAATTTCTTTATAATTATTGATTATCCGCTTCCTCAAAGGATATTCTTCACGTGTTTTCCATTAATCACTTACTTGCCCATCTATAGTAGAAAGATTTCGAATATCTCATCCCCATTTGTGTATTTGCTTAAGGTTTAAGGATTTTCTTAACAGATCCAACAATGGCAAAGCGGATAAGTTCACGCAGCATTAGGAATCCAACCATCCTATTTGGTGTTTTCGCGAAAACACCAAATACTAGTTTCCTCAGATAGATCGCTCCAGCGTGATTTCCTGTAATGTAATGAATCCAATCCTTTTCCTAAGAAAATTAGAACATTCCTAAGAACATTAGAATTTCTACACATTAGAAAATATTTTCTAAGCTAAAATTCGTAAGTATTGCAATAATTTAATAAATATTTTCCACTTTCCTAAAATGCCCTTCATCTTTTTCGTTATTGTTATTATTTGAATTCTGATAAATGCGTCAAAATTTTGTGCCATTCATTGGTTTTTCCAAGAAGTTTTATTTTGCTAAACGCATTTTTCAGGAAAAGATTTATTTTAAAATATAATTACCATTTTTATTATTATAAAATTGCAATTACGGAAATGTTACATGAAACAAATCGAAACCCAAAACTATGACCCCAAATGAGGTCGCAAATCGAAATTTTGGGGGTCACCAAAAATTCAATTCGATAGTTGAATTTAAAGAAACTGCATTCATAAGACTTTTAAAGAAATTACAGTAATTGACATTAGTGAGATTAGACTTATAAAGATATTACATTAATTGATGTTAATGAGATTAATTACCTGTTATATTAAGTGCAAAAAGAATTTGTAAAGCTATCTAGCGATTCCAACCTATAGCTTGAGTTTTTACAAACATCCTTGATGAATTCTGGATCGAAGTTAGAATTATATTTCTCATTATTTCTGAAATGGCATTCAATATTCTTCTCTCATTCAGCAACACATATTTTTAAAAATTACTTTTCCAGCTTCATCGCTAATTAAAACTAAATGCCGTTCAATCTTGAAACATGTTGAAGGCGCTTTATGTCCGGCAGTGTCAAATATAGCACCAACATTTAATTTGTTACGCGGCAGAAAACGAGCCCATCTGTCTCATTAGAATTTACTTTAATTTTTGTTTGCTGAAAATAAATCCTAAAATACTTTTTTTATATGTATATTGTTTAGCAAAGATGTAAATTATTTACGTGAGGATATTTATTTTTATATCTTTATTTTATATCTGGGATCTCGACTGAAAAAGGTATAAGAAGCCCAGCTTTAAACCATAAAAAAAAAAAAAAATAAAATTAAAAAAAAAGTTACATTTCTCCCTTCAAAGGAAATGAAATTCCTTGTCTCCATTAGCCACA